TACGAAATCCAGAATCGCATTTACAGCACTAGAACAGCCTTCTTATAATTGAGAAACACACTGTGGCGAATGACGGAAATTATTCTAAGAACGAAGATCCGAGTAGCCTCAGCAACCATTGGTGTCATTTTACTCTATGGTTGCGAAACAGCCGCTCCGATCCGAAGACATCCGGAAGTTGAAAGTTTGTAACCATTGGTGTCTAAGGCTTATCTTGAAAACGCAGTGGAATGAGTGTATCACCAATGACGAAATCCAGAAGCGCACTTATGATCTTCCGAAGCTCCCAGCGCTCATCCACCGTCGCAGACTTCAGTGATACGACCACGTTCTCCGTTGACTTCATTAGGGCAGTGCTTTCACCCTCGCCTTGTTAGGGTTGGCATCGTCGCTGTGAGGGAATATTGAAAACGTCGCTCGCTTCATTGAAATCGCATGTCGATCTTCTGAGATCCAATGTAGTGCATGGTGTTCGTCACAGGAGAAACCACTGGATCAGTATCCGCGTGGAGATTTCAGCCGACCGCCGCAATTGAGCAGCAGCACTCCGCGACATTCATGAAGTCCGCTCAACCTATCGCAGGAGCTAGCCGCAGTAAATTAAAGAAAACTGGGTGCAATTAGTCCGGATTGCCTTTCCTACGGAAGTTTAAATCATCCATCCTTTGCTTGGCTTGAGAAGTCAAAGACATGGCTCATTTACCAAAGATACGAAGCCTCAACTAAGTACGTCGTACAAAACTTAAACTAGATCCTACGAACCAATAAACCTAGACTTAACGCACTGTCTGGGCAGAAGAATAAAACGAAGTATCCCGTAATGGTGATTATAGGAGACAACCTAACTACAGTACATGACTTACGAATAGGTTTTGTAATCGTAGTGCGAGCGGGCAGAAATTGTAAAGCGTAAGGCAGCGTGAGGGAATTTGGGCAGTATCATTGTAACAGAATAATATGCATGACCTTGAAACGTCAAGGATTTGTCAGTGATCGATAGTGAAAGGAATAAGGATTCATTATGGCAACTGATTGTAGCACACAGAGTGTAAGCAATATAAAAAGGGCAGAATAATTAGGGAATAGGGATACGATGTACTCAAGTAAGCAATCCAGGTTGGGGAATACATCAAAACTCAAGTTGGAGTTGACTGCTCAAATGTGAACTAATAGTCGAACTCTGCTTAACCTATGTTTGGTGCCGGCTCATCTGCAGGGTAATGACTGATTACAATGCAGGGTGGTAAAAGCTGCAGAAAAACTCTTTTTTCTGGGGCAGCCTTACTTTTGCACACTAGCCTGCTGCTTGTGATGATATGCTGTTGACAAAGTGAAAACGCCTTGACTTTGGTTGTTTGTTTATGGTCCTTTTAATTAGCGTTAGGCTCCCTGTCTCCGGAGTGCACTGTTTTGGAAGAGTAACACCAGTTCTATTACTCTTGGTTGTTTTTTAATTCGATAGATCATCGTGATTGTACTACAACAAAGCATCACTTCAATGGCTGATTTACCATTGTTGGTGACGAAGATACCGTTAATGATAAGCTCTGAAAGTGAGAGAGCACCTTCCCGCATAACTAACGGTCGGTATCAATAGATTATGCAACTCTTGCATAGCTGCCTACCTCGCCGGCAAAGGGCACAAGCGCAAACCAGCCGAAGCATTCATAAATATCTACAAGACCCCTGATAATCGATCAGGACATATGCGCAAACGGATACTGGAAGCCGCAGAGTCCATCACAATTCGGCTGCACGAACCGAGTCTGCATTCAGAAGGGTTTCATTCAGGCCTTACGGCTACCCTGGCCAGCTCTACTTGTGACCACTACTCAATTGGATCGCATGCAGCCCCAGATATGGACCTGATCAATAGCAATAGTTGACCTCTTCTAAGCATTGGTTTTACCGCCTTTTTAACAATAGTTCAATAGTTCCATAGTGTATGATGGGATAAAAAGCATTGGCTTTACAAGACCCATAGGATGGTAAATGCAAAATAAATAAAAATCATTAGATTCCGACATGGAACTGAAATGCCAATAGTCTAAACCTAGTACATCACACCACAATGTGATGTTTGTCACTCAGATGAATGTCTAACATTTGTTTGAATGCTGTAATATTCGGAGCGTTTACCACATGCGTTGGCAAGTCATTCCATTGTGAACAGATTCTAAGAGAGTAAAAATATTTTCTACAGTCTAATCGGGAGTGTTGGATTATCAGCTTGAGCTTATGACCTCTCGATCGCTTATATGAGGCTAGGGTGAGCAGCGATTTGCACGGGTGATCGCTTTCCGTTAATATCCGGTATGCGAGAATGAGATCTCCGCGTAGTCGTCGGTATTCGGAGGAAAACATTCCGATTAAACTGAGACGCACTTCATAATTGAGACCAGATAATCCGCGTGTTGCCTTCGTAGCTCTTTGTTGGGGCTCCTCTAAGAGATGAATGTCCCGTTTTAACCATGGGCACTAAGCCTGGACGGCATATTCGACGTGGGGACGGATAGAGGAGTTGACAAGCATGGGTACCAACCGTCGTTCAAAACACCAAAAGCTCGCCTCAAAAGTCTCAGATCCATGTTCGCCACGTTTGCTGCTTTCGAACATTGGAGCGAATTCCAACAGACTTTCTTGCACAATGATACCTAAGTCTCTTTCTGTGGTCACGCGCCGTAAAACGTACTGCTCCAAGAGGTACGTGTTGGTAAGATTGCTGCGCAATGACAGTAGGTGACACTTTGCAGGATTCAGGGGGAGATGGTTTATATTTGCCCATTTGTTGATTCGATCCAAATCATTCTGGAGGAGGGCACATTCTGATGTTGTGCGAATAACTCTTCAGATTTTTGCGTCATCTGCAAAAATTTGCATCGAGGATTGAATATTATCCGGGAGGTCGTCAATGTAGACCAGAAAAAGGAGGGGACCAAGGACGGATCCTTGAGGAACACCACTGGAAATGCAGAGGGTTTCCGAGAGGGCATCGGCGACTCTGACCTTGATCGTTCTGTCATGCAAATATGCTGCTAACCAGGTGAGTAGGGAACCATGGATACCGTAGGCAAGAAGCTTATGAAGCAGAGCTAAGTGATTGACTCTGTCGAATGTCTTTGAAAAGTCTAGGTAAATCACATCAAGGGGGGGATCCTTCATTAAGCACTTTGGTCCATGAATCCCGAGCAAGAAGCAGATTTGTGAGGCAAGATAGTTTGCGCCTAAAGCCGTGTTGGAGGTGAGAAATTAGCTTCAGACTCTCAAAATATCGTGTAATTTCATCTGCAACTAACGATTTCATTACTTTGATAAAACAGGGAGGAGAGTAATGGGTCGGTAGTTAGCAGGATCCGATCGCTCACCTGTTTTGTATATCGGAGTGACTATCCCGCTTTTCCACTCAGACGGAAGTGTTTAGGAATTGAGTAGACTTTGGAAAAAGCTTACGAGGTGTGCTGCTATGGTGGGAGCAAGAGTTTTAAGAACTTTGGGTCTGATCTTGTCGACTCCCGGAGCGCTATTTTCTCTTAGAGACTGTAATTTGCTAGCGACAGCTGCTGAGGTAAAAGTGACAGTTGATATGCCGACCACGTTGGGTGAACGCTGGTTTGGCAAAGGTTCTATGGCGTTTGCAGTCACTGTGCCAAACTGCAGAAGTAATGCGTTCGCAGCATCCACAGCAGTAGTCGTTAAGCCACCATCGTCTTGAGTGGTGGTATTCCTGTTTTAACGTTCCTTCTGCTGTTCACGTACCTGTACAGCAGTTTTGTATTGTTCGTGAATTTAAGTACCATGTTTTTTTGCCATTCGCACTTATCGGCTCTAATCAGTGATGTGCAATAGTTCCTCACTATTTTGTAATTCTCCCAGGTGGCGTCGCAATCGTTCAGCGCGCATTGTTTCCAGAGCTCGTCTCTGGTACTAATCCATTTACACGTTCTGCTTCGGATCCAGGTGTTGGTCCGGCGCGGCACTCGTAATGGTATGACTTTAGAGGTTGCCTGCGTGACACAGCTAATTTTGTCTTCTAGTTCGTTCCACGCGTCGTCTGCCGTGCTCTGCAGATTGAGGTCCCAGTTGACGGTTGTAGCTAGGCTGTGAAGTACGGAATAGTTGGTTACAGTTCGTCGGTTTTCATATCTAATTTCAGTAGTATTGGCGTAACACACATAGGCAAAATTTAACACTGAGTGGTCACTGTTGCCTAATGGTGGATCGTATAAAATTGTCTCAATCATCATCTCTTCGTTGGTTAGGATTAAATCCAGAAGCGATGGCTTATGTGAACCGCGGTGTCTAGTTGGTCGGTGCACATGGTTGTACAGAGCTGCTGTATGCATAAACTCGAGAATCTTTGATTTGAAGTAAGGACCACTAGAAGTCGCTGAGACAATTGAGGGCACATTAAAATCGCCCATGATTAGACAATGTGAGTACTTTTGAGAAACTGCAAAATGAAGCGCGTTTAACAGAATGTCATCTCGGTCTGCGGTGGAGTTCGGTGGCCTGTAGACAAATGCCAACAGACAAGCATCCCACGTCTTCTTCGAAGGTTCACCACCTCGGCCATTTAGTTGCATTCGGCAAAACAAAGCGTCGGAGACAACAGGGTGACGTTCGTTAATAGCCTCACATCTCAGACAATTCCGATAGTACAGAGCAACGCCGCCACCGAGGGATGGACGATCATTGCGAATAACTGACATATCACTGATTTCGATTTCTGTGTCGAGCATGTCATTGGAGAGCCAGGTTTCAGTTACAGCTATGATATTCCAATTGACTATGTTATGTCAATGGCGCAATTCAGGTAGCTTAGAGTTGAGCCCCTGAGCGTTTGTGTAGCAGTACCTCAATAGTCTGACTGATTGAGTGAATTGGTATATAACTGTACTAGGCGGAAGAATAATCATTGAAAACATATGTTCGATAACACTACCATTAAACCTCTGAACTATTCAATTCACGTAGGATGTTGTACCCATTTTCTAAAACAGGCTAGAATCCCCCCAGTGGTTAACAAGATTCCCAGGAGCGCCGGTCGGTACTATCGGTCCCGCGTGTACCAATGGAACAGCATTCAATGATTTATTACAAACTCAGGATCGCTTACAGAATGCAGTTTCACAATTTTCACTAATGGTCCCGACAGATTCATCCTACATGTCATTCGGGGCATCTCTTGCAGCCACAAATGACTCCGTACCGGACTTTCTGTCTGCCATCACAAACAGTGATGCGATATATGGTGCTATCGGCCGGACATCGTTGCAATCGATGGCGATAGAGCAACTACCGATTAATCCGTTTCCACTGCAGTCATCCCAAGTGTCCGTACTTGGAACCCCGATGCACTCAGCAGGTGCTCTTGTGCGAGTGGATGGCCTAAGTTGCAGTACACACGAGTCAATCGTCGCACGCCTCTTCTCTCCATTTCCGGGAGTATTATCAGTGCATATTGTGCCCGCCACCACGACGAATACCCTGCACAAGCAGAAAGCATATGAAAATCTAGGGTCGTCATCGTGCAGTGCTTTTGTGATCATGTCCGACGCGGAACAAGCAAAGCTGGCGAGCCAGTATCTGAACGGGTAAGTGATGGAATGCAAAATCACATACTCGAGGATTATTGCAATTTTAATCGATCTGGTGCAACTAGATAACCCGATAATAACAAATTCCACGTAAACTTCTCCCTTGATCAGTGTCAAAACAGCGAGAAGGAACAACATTTCAGCATGATACTCTAAATACAACAAGTTCGGGTATTCGCATGATTCGTTAGCATACAATCCGTGGGATAATTGTATGTATATAACAATAATACTGGTAATAACAATAAATAATAATAACTGATAATGATTCCTCCAGTGAAGCTTCCACTCAATCACTGAACAATATACTTATTTCATGTTGGCTATTCACTTCAAGCTCAATGAAATATCATAGTTGAATGAATAAGATATTCAGTCTGGAGCGCGCTTCCAAGTATTTCAATCCCTTGGACGGAAACATCTGCATAATACGTAGAATACTGCCTGACAATCAGCAGGTTATGACGGATATCAACTAGTTAAAAAGAAAATACATGTATGTTTCCCATATGGAAGCTGTTGCCTAGGCTCTAGTAATTGGACTGCAAACTTTCTTGGACTGCATGCACACAAAACGTGCGCGACGAAGGTGAGTAACAGAGAATACCATGGTACACAGAGTTTAGCGTAAGTCCACCCATCAGCTTCATGTTACCAAGGTAATCAATAGCCCCACTAGACCCCTCGAAAGGCTGTGTAAGCCCAAACTGCCTCACCCGAACTAACCAGTGTTAAGAGCTCACTACAATGCAGCTGGGAGGTAGCGAACAAGCAGACAGACAGAAAGCGACACATCATATTATAAGAGATAAATTGCTTTGTATCCATTGCATCCAAAAAGCCTACCTGATCGGTATACAAATATTCTCTTGATGTTGCCATACTCTCTGCTAAATGTTAGACATTTGAAACAAGTGACAGTAAGTAGGATTACCGTATCAAGCACAAAACACGTTTGCCTGTACCAATGCATGGCTTAAAGAATATCTGGAACCTCCATCACCTGTTTAATAGAGAATAATACAGACAATACCATAGTTTATCAATAATGGTCCGCTCCGTCAAATTCCGGTAGACAGCTTGGTGACGTAACTAATACTCCAGATGGACGGAAAATAATAAGCATTTGGCCATTAATGCTACTTGGTATTGTTACGGAGTGCCAACTTACAGTCAGCGTACGAGTCAAGAACCGTGGCGCAAAAGTGGATCGATCTATATTTGGAGATCGAATTTGAGCAGAAATCAAACGTGAATCTATGTGGGGTCAGCGGCAAGTTGAACCCTGAAATTGAACCGTTTAAGTGGTGTTAATTGATCTAAATTAGCAACTCCAATATTGCTGTGTTCAGCAGTTGTCTTCAACCAATTTATTGCGCCATGCTGTCATACAATAGGAACCCTCGGTCCTGGCTGGGCTCTGGGGTACTCATTTCCTTGCGGTTTAAAATGTTAGTAGTCGGCACAGTAGATTCTGTCAGGTTATCCGTACAGTCAAGAAAAATCCGCAACAGATTTTTGGCGACGGAAGATAAATTTACTCAAAATGGCTATCTCAGCAAAAGAACTGAAAACTATTTTGTCACAACAGCAGCAGCAGCAGCAGTTCGAGGTCGCACAGCTGCGAATGATGGAGACCCTCACAAGAACACTGTCGCTCCAGTTTACAGCCATCTCTTCCGAGCAAATGCAGACGCTCCTTCAGCTCCAGCAGTCAATGTTTGAAGAATCACGGCGGCAATTGGCACATTTGCGGGCACTGGAGTTGGCCGTCTAAGCAGAATGGATACTAGAACCAGAGCTGACATCAGCGGACATCGCAGATGAACGTTACCAGCTTCCCAACTTGGGATTAGACAAAAAAGGGTGAGAATCCGAATACCAGAAGTGAACTCCAGATCCGCCGCACAGCTAATGAACGTCAGAGTGTGCATCAAAACGTGCCGAGTCAGAAGCACACCACTGCAATTCTCGCCGCATTCCGCAAGGGCCAAAGCGCATGGGAGGCCCCTTTTCTCTAGATGGAAAAATCGCCTACGAACCGAAATGTAAGGGTCTGCAACACTGTGCAACGATCTTCTCAGCCAATTGTACAGATAATCTGCCTAGAATGGAGTGCAAGGGTACAAGCTTCACTGTCCCTTAAGCCCGATGCCAGTCCAGTGTTTCGCACGAAACTCCCTGTACCTTACGCAGCAACACCCATGGCTGACCAGGAGCTTGACCGCTTAGAGGTAACAGTTCTCCAACCGGTGAACCACACACCCTGGGACCCAGGACGGACCTAAGGAGCTTTGACCAGTGGCCACAAAAATGGATGAACTTGTAGCCACGGTGATGGACGTATGGGGTAAGGAGCCCCGTCATTAGAATGCAGCTGAACCAAAGACGGAGGTCATGCGTCAATTTGCGCGAAAGAGCTGTTACGAAGAGCCAGATTACATCCAGCGTGCAAGCCAAAAACTGTGACGCAAGAGTGAATCGATCTACATTTGGAGATCAAAATCGAGCAGAAATCAAACGATTATCTATATGGGGTCAGCGACAAGTTGAACCCTGAACTTGAACCATTTAAGTTGTGTTAATTGATATAAATTAGCATCTGCGAAACTGTTGTGTTCAGTAGTTATCTTCAACCTAATAATTGCGCTCCGCTCTCATACATTACGAACTCTCGGTCCGGCTGGTCTTAGTTTTCTCACTTCGTGCGGGGCTGAACAGGTTTTGGGGCGGCACAGCAGATTCTGGCAGGTTATCCGCACAGTCAGCGGAAACCACAACAAGTATCAGCAGTACATCGGTACACAGTACCGACTCCTCGCTGTCGTGCAACCACCACCGGTCGCACGTGGACTAAGGATAATGCGAGGATCGCCCTGTCCCTACGCAGGGTCGAACCCACGCCGCCAGATTGCAAGACAAGCTCGTTACCTTCAGGCTAGGGGGCTGCCGTTAGTGTCCGGCTACGGACCGGCATTAATGCTACCACATAGACGATGTGTTGGCCATCGCACTGGTGATCAACTCTATTTGCTTTTACATAACTAAAGAGCACATAACAGATGTACAAACAAGCCCTAACGTTCAAAGCTCACTTAACAAAATCAGATGGCTTCAAACGGTAACAGATCGACAAGAGGAATATTAGAGCATCAATTTTCGGTTAGTAGATGTACAAGAGCAATGTAATGCAGGGTTTTGCATTCTGAAACTCCTTAAGTCATTGTTATTGATCCAAGGGTTAAACAGCAGTTACACAAAATTTATCCACATGTGAAGGAAACCTGCGTTCATTCAAGAAAATCACCAGCTATCCTTGTTATTATATAAAAAGTGAACGGGAAAAAGTGGTCATTATCCTGATAAACGAAAACAGGTAAGAAAGTCTTTTCGCAGTCGCGCTGGGATACTCTTTTACAGTCACTCCGGATTAATTCAGTCCATCGAAGTCAGATTACTACACTCATCTGTGGAGCTGTTAGTTCAATCAACCGGCCCATTGTATTTAAAGGTTCAGTGGAGATCAGTGCCCATATCTTCTCTAGCAAGGCATGACCGGGATTGTTTCTAGCATTAGTAAGGGACAGCAATTTAATGCTAGACATAAGTGAACTCTGGTATTGATATCCAGACTGTATACGAAGTCTCCATATGTATGCGAAAGTAGCTACATTGGTGTGCCCTCGCACGATTACTGAAGCAGGCTGTCCTTAACCGGTACCGAAAAGTGGAGCAGTATCTGAAACTTGACGAAAGTTGATAAAGCTGAGTAGCAGCCACGGCTATTAATCATGGTCCAGGAAAAAAGCCCATAAAAGTCTAGCCACATTTGTGGCTCTGAGACTTGGTGAAATACCTCCATCTGAAATATCATGTTTCAGTTGCATTAATCACTTTGCACCAAATGCACCCGCATATCAACAAGAAGAGGTGGTGCAAAACCAGGTTGGATTCTAAATGGCTCTCAATCGTTAATTGCACAGAGTGCTGGTGAGAAATACAAACATTTCGTCGGCGATGGACCCGGAACCTCTTTTGAGCGAAGTCCCAGTCAGAATGATGAATATCCATATGCATTAAAAAATAAACAACCCAGTAGTAGCAATGTTTGACGGAGTAGGAATAGACATCTGAACAACTAGAACTCGTAACCGCGTGCACGTCCAGGCTTCAGTAAACACGGTAACCTTCGTGGTCCAAAGGATTAATGCTGAGTGTCCGTGGAGTACAATTCCTTTTCCCGCCTGTGAATGTTGTACATCACTGAGTGCTAGGCAAGATCGTTCCAATGATACCGTCTGCAAATAAGTAGTGGCGAAACACGATTGGCAGCCGTTGCGCACTGATACCGGGTTTGCAGTTCGGGAACTGACCACCGCATACCTTCTGTTATGAACTGATCTCAGGGTAACATTCTACTATCTTCCGACGTCATGCCGTGGATACCAACTAGGCGCTCTAATGTGTCTTCCTAAGGGAGCGTCTCGGTGGACGCCCGCAACGAAGCTGCGAGCACACAGCCAAGTAACGGCTGATGAAACCATGAACTCGGAATGCACATTTAATAACGCTGGCATCCGAGCTGAGTAAGCGCTCAGAGCACAGTGGAGGGCCACTGGTAGTATAGAAACCAGATGTTATTAGCAGCAGGCATGTCTTCATGTGGCGTATCAAATAGCCAGGTTGGACATTGGGTCACCACGCGGTGTCTGACTTCTGGATGCGAATTCCGGTTTGGAGGGAACACAACCAGACTCGCAAAGATCTCAAGATTAAACTGCGTGCTAGCTTGAAGAAATACCAAGAAGCTTGAAAGACACGTGCTGCACCGGAAAGAGGAATGGCCGCTGCCCTTTGAAACCACAGGATGTTATCCCGTCTAGCACGAGAAATGGGTAACAGACCTAGTGTCAGCGAGACTATATGCCATGAGAATGAACAGCTTATCCACAGCTAATCAAAACGCTTGGAGCGTTCGGCTACACATCAGAAATTCGGTTTAATCAGCCAGAATTACCAACTTCATTATCGGCCAATGAAGCACTTCTCTCATGGCCGTCTCCTTGCACAGAGTTTAAATGTGAGATCAGGCTCCTGCACGACGATGCGGGACCAGACGGAACTCCTCCAGCCCTCTTCAAATTAGAGGAACCACCTCTTGTGGAAACGTTGCGCACTATATCAGCGAAATTGTGGTAGCGGTAAACTGCCCGACGCACTGAATGCGTCGATCCGTTAAAGTCCCGAATAACGTTCGAAATGCAAAAAAGAAACAGGAATCAGTCGCTCCAACAGTTCCATCCTGGAACACGTGGTGGAAAGCTGACACTAAATTAGGACCGCTGATGCCTTCCAAGTACTTTATGTAGTACAACCACGGTGCACTAAAGGTCTTAGAAAGCAAATCTTACGGACGGCCGAAGCGATTGCGATTGGAATTTTCCAACCGGAATTATGCAAACAGAAGGCTTTACTGCAAGGGCTTCTTCTAACTTGGCCCTAGTTAGCTCATCAACTTTTATCACTCCGTGCGCCTACAGTGGTCGGACGATGCGCTTGACATTCCACCGATCAACTAACACGTGCTCTGACACATGTGTTGTTACCGGACTTTATTGATCAAAACTTTTGAGTTTCTGTTTGTCGTGATTTCACTATTCCCACCACTTTGGCTTCATCAGCCATTTGCTTTCTGCCTTTCCATTTTATAATCTTAAATGTCTGAGGAGATTTGTCGATAAGAGCACTCTTCGCAAAATTGTGTTCTTGCAAACAGGAATCAGTCTGATCTTGACTACTCTAAGTTGCGTGTCTCTGTCGTTCTCCAGAAACTGATTGGCGCCAGTGAACATCAGGTTCGTGAATACCAAGTCGGATTTTTTTGAAATCAAGCAGGTGCCGTTATTCCTGTCTTACTGCCGTATTCAGTTTGTTGTTTCTAGATAAACAATCTCCCGATGTTGCTCGCAGACATCTAGCCAACCATTTCAGCAAGCTGATGAAGTAATCTGGGGCCAATATCCTAAACCAGAACAGAGTATATTCCCTGTGGGATAGGACGCAGGAATGCATGGTCACGAGTAACTCATTTTGACGAGCCTACAAAGCTCGATCAGGATGAAGCCTCAGTAACCCAACTAAAATTCGTGCCAGCCTGATCCCAGAATACTTAAGATGCCGAAGGACTTGGGAACGTAAAATTTGGCAGCGTCAGCACTATTCACTGCAGTGATCCTGCTGAAACAGTGCCACTGGTAACACCCTTCGGTAATATCCAAAGTCGCCGAAGTATTAGCGCAATTGTAGGGATATGGATATCAACAGACCCGGTCGAATTCTAAGACTCACGTAAGTTGAACCGATGGCATAGATGCTAATTAAGAATTGATGCCGCTCATTTGGAATTACCAAAGATATTCGAACATCCGGGTTTTTTATGCTGTTTTACGAACGATGGAGCTTGGGCGAATAGGTGGATTCTGACTTTAAAGACATCCGGATGATGGCCATTAGTACCCTGAGAAGTTAGACAGATTTTCCGTGTACCGCGTCACAATGATCAGTACTTGAGGTGTGCTTGTTTCTGGCTTCGACAAATGATCTTCCAATGCACGCATTAAGAGTGTCCAATCAAGATACGTGTCGGAGAAACACTTAAACTTTATCAGAACGCTTTACAAGTGCGGTTAGGGCAGAGTGAGGGCTTACAACAAGCTGTAGCCGCCCTTTAATATCTCCAGGTGTGTGACACAAGATTGCACTCCGCCAGCTTTCCATTTTAACTTCGACATCGAAGAAGTCATGGAGTACGCCGAGGACATTGCCCTTATCTGTGACAGTTGCCAAACGTAGCAAGTAGCATTGGATAAATTAGCAATGGCTGTCAGTCGCTTCGCGCTATGCTCTGCATCCACAAAACCAGTGTAAGAGAGGGAGCAACCCACTCAGTATCTTTAGCCAACGCGTGACTGGTGGCGGTCGCAGGTCTGCGAAGCGTACGTACTATGTACCGGCGTACTGCTGATACCTTACATCTGACTTCAGGTCAGTATCATGATATGTGAGCCGAAGCACGAGTCAATCCGCTGACAATTATACTGCTGTATTAACGGGAATTGTTTCGTACTAGCTTCCCTATTCATACTAAATCAATGTTTACATTTAAGTAGGAAAGTTTTAGGATTCTTCACAGTAGCCTACAAGTCTAATAGACTCCAATGCACCCGGCAACACATTTGAAGGCTGTTTCGTTCTAACTGGACTCGTTAGCACTGCCTATCACTCGGATACACCTGGAACTGAACCTATGATCCCTCGATACCAGCGGCTTATGACACTTGTCAACTGCATTGGCCGATAGGTAATGGATGACTTATAAGCTAACTAGAATATAACCCGTATGTTGCGAGATCTGCAGAGGATAGGGTCAGCTCCCACCGCTGACTAGTAGTAGAAACCGCGGGTATCAAGGGGCCACGCTGCACATCCTGCTTGATCCAAGGAAGGTGCGCTACTAACGAGTTCCGATAAGATGAAACGGCAGTCAAATGCTTTTCCAGGTGCGGTGGAAGCAGTCGGATTGAGAATAACCCTCAAATATATTATAATTTTGTTGCGCTGCACACAACACCGTGTATCCGAAAATAAACATCTCATGTTTATTAAACTTCTAGGGCTCGGAATTAAAAGCAAAGGCGAAGTAACCGACAGTTAGTGGATCACAGTTTGTTATGCATAGATGTTTGAGCCAAAGCACGAGAGTAATTTGATGCAAACCAGTCCAACTTAAATATGCATCAACTGTTCGTGTATAACCGCAAAGTTTATAAAGTATGAAGGCGAATAACCAAAATCGCTGCTCAACTTTGTTCTCTTTATCACTGAATCATCCGAGGAGTGAGCATATTGTTTCACCAGATTTAACATGGACACATGGAACAAGCGTCTAGTCCCATAAGGACGGAAAAAGAAGCGAACTCTATTAAAAAGGCAGTGAATTATGCTTAGGTGGGAAGATAGCTGACATTAAATCCCACAATTGTCCCTCTTCTTTCAGGTGCACGTTGCAGAACAGGTTGCTACAAGTAGTGTGGGAACCTATTTCGCCGGCAGCGCAATGTCTTTCCACTGAACTGTTATCCAAATTGACCTATCCGCAATTCGCCGTCAGCCACATGCAACAGGGAGCCGCCACCAACTGACGATCACAAGGTCCACGGTGAGCACACATACCAGGAGTCAAACAAAGTGAAGATGCGATGAATTCGGACCATGGAACTGAGACTGCAATTATGGAGTCTACTTATCTATTATTTCCATCATTTGCTATGTTTAATGGGCTGCTGCCAATGCGCTTCAGCTCAATCCAAGTGAGGCCACTAGGCGCTACACTTCCTGTATATGTGTGTATGTAAACTCTAAAGCTGTTCGACCTGATTATGACCGAGCAGACTCAAAAAAGAGACGAAAATATGATTGACGAACAGAGGCTAACCTGTGCTTTTCGTCTTGTGATACAAAGTGGGTAAGAGTTTAAGGTACAGACTACATCGGAGAAACGCAGTGACGAAGGATGTCACGGTGACGTTGGATGTCCCCGAAGACAAATAACGACGAATACCAGCATTATCCAAATTTCAAAGTTATCAACCAAGTGTTTTCAATTAACCAAACAAAACCCGTCATGGAACGGAGCCTGCTAGGGGAAACGCGTGACAAGAACCACCGAAAAGACTACACACATATGGGAAAGGAACGATGGCAGTGTAAACCACATCAGTCGGTAAAAGTGCAGGGGTGGTTGAAGGAAAGATACGTGTCTGACAACACTGGTGCTTTTCCGGACTAGGCTGTGCTATGTAGCTTGTGAACTACTGGGAAGAATACCTTAAACAAATTACATCTAAGATCCTGCTACTCAAGAGTAGTATAAATTAAATAGCCTCTCCTAGTTGCAAATGCTATGGAAATAGCGTCTAGCCAGAGGACGTTACCCCTCGTAGGATAGTCACTGTCAGTGACAGTGGAAGACAAGTGGTGCTATATCGAAGTTAGCCTGCAAATTATTTAGCTCAGCCAACGTCCCCCATGACTCAGTGGCTTAAGCTGCTGGCTAGTTGGCATCTGCCCCTAGCGGTCATGGGTTCGATCTCCAGTAGGGGGCCGAGGGAATGCACACCACTAACAAGCCCCAATAGGACGAAACGTGTCTTGTGCTTTTCTGGACTAAGCAATGCTATGTAGCTTGTGAACTACTGGGATGAATACCTTAAAAAATTAGGAAAGGCCTAAGAGTATACATCCACTTCCGTTAAAAGTGATCTGCGAACAACATGGGGTGAAGCTTGGCAGTTCATCCTGGATGGGTGACATAGTGAACGGAGTGCAGGGATTGTGAGATGCTAGAGGACGTCAAATATAGTGCAGTTGCAAGAGATTGAGTGGAACCCTGAAGAGCGACTGTGGTAGCCTAGACAGCTGAGGCTTGCAAGCTAGCTTTATCTGAAAGAAGGCGGTATGATCTAGGCCGGCTGTCTTAAAAGAATCATTTGTCTACAAATTGCTAGTCTGAGGAAGTGTTGTGTCAAAGACGAACAGCCGTTCAGTGAGTACGGAAAACTCGTCTTGACTGACATTAAAATAAGGATATCTCCGTCTGGACAATAAGCAAGGCAAGTTCTCCCGTTCATGGGTACAGGCAAAACGTGTAATGTTCGGTCGCGAAATAAAAATCGCCCCGCCAGATACACTGCATCCCGATGAGTAAATGAGTGATTGCAAATGACGCAACACTGCCGATTGTCCGCTGAGATCTGATGAAAACAGTGAGCTGTCCTCCTTTCTGCAAATGGAATGTGGTGAGGGATCGGGTGATCTAGTCTGAAGCTTACAATTCGGTTGTAGCATCGATTTAGTTCAGATGTGACCGGTGATAAAAGCCCCGTTCGGTGGATTTGTGGAAGATAGCGAAGAGAAGAATAGCAGTAACTTAGATTAAATCGATGGGGTGCAACGACAGAGGGAACGCTACGCGTCAATGGAAAATAATCCCATCAGGATAAACAGATGAACGAGGGTGATGTACATGGGTATCTTCACGTTAGAAATTGCTCAGATCCACAAGGCACGTTAAAAGCCTGATTGATACAAACAGAGACAATGACGTGCGGTGGCCTAAGACGAAATGCCAGACACCTGAACAAGTAGTTGATCGAGAACAACAGATTATATAACATCAGGTATGAAAACAACACCACAAGAAGTTTTGATCCTATTAGGTCTAAGTGCATTCTGTAGTGAACTAACCCAAATACCGAAGAGAGAACCAAGTACCGATAGAATACGAGCATCATAGTAACAACAAGAATGACAATCATGCTATGTGTGTGGCAGAAACGAGACATGCGGTAGCTACGTACGTCTCAATAAGCAGTTATATATAAGGCACGGTTGCACATTGGGTTGGATAATGAAGCGTCCGAGACTGAATAAGGATGATCACAAAAAGCGTTTTAGGCATCAGAAGTAATTATACGGACATGTGCATTTCATGGGCGACGAGTTCGCCTGGTTGCAATTGGACGTCGCTTCGGAACCACAGCAGTGCTCGCCAAATTAGGACTGGTGGTGCCGAAAGTGAACGGGTTCCCAGTTGGTTGGGGTTGGGCACCAAAGCTCAACGCCGGTTGACCAAACACAAAGCCATTAGTGGAAGGTGGCTGCGTTGAACCCAATGCGGATGAAGTCGTGCTAGACTGGATGAAATTGAACCCCATATTTGTCGGTGTCGTTGTGTTTGAGGAAGAACCAAATTGGAACAGGTTAGTGGTTGGGGCGGTGGACAAAGTGGAAGAATTCGTAGCTGTTTGAAGTGAACTCTGAGACGCAGCAGGCTGTCCAAAAGTAAACAAATTCGGTCCCGAAATAGCAGATGAAGAGAAAGCCCCGCCTCCGAAACTGCTTGCCAAACCACTCGAGGCAGATGTTCCAAATTGGAAAGGCTGTTTATGGGCCGATTCGGTTCCGGAAAGAGAAGAAGTCGATACCGTCGAAAACGTGAACGGAGAGGAAGAAACGGTAGACGCCATAGTCACATTAAACGGGTTAGATGAGGTGCAAGGAACATCACCGATTTTTCCGAACAAACTGGGAGCTCCGAAAGTTGTTATATTTGTAGCACTACCCGCAGTGGATTTCATCCCCAACGAGAATGCACTGGAAGAACTACTGGCTGGCAAAGATGTCCCCAGTGAAGATGCGACAGTATTGGAAGAAATGGCCGAGCCAAACAAAGAGAATGATGAGGTAGTCGTGGCTGTACTAGATGAGACAGTCGGTAAAGTGCCGAAAGAAAACAACGGTGCGACGCTACTTGTAGGCGCGGCCATGGTAGTTGCCGTGATGCCTGCTGCTGAGTTGGTGGTTGATGCCAAAGAAAAAGGGAATGGTGTTTTAAGTGATGAGAATGAAAATACTGGATTGGTTGAGGCAGTGGTGGTAGTGGTGGTGGTGGTAGAGACCAAAGTAGAAAAACCAAGGCTGGGAGCAGTGAATGTTGCTATACCGGTAGACGACGAAATAGCAGGTAGGGTAACACCGCCGTTGGATAAGATGGTAGCTGGAGCAGTTGAAGAGGTGGAGAAGAGTGAAGCAGAGGTTGAGGTCAGCAGAGAGTGTGAGAAAGGTGAACTAGTCGTATGCACGTTAGATGCCGTACCGAACTGGAATGGCTGTCCCGAAGAGGCCGAAGTAGTGCAAACAGAACTGATAGCAAGTGGAGCCGAACTAGAAGTAGTGGCGACAGAAAACAGTGGTGCTGTTGATAAACCTGTGACAGAAGTACCAGTAGGTATGCCGGAGGATGATTCTGACGACTTGACCACACTTGTCCCGAACGATAACACGGACGTGACGGGAGCAAAGGAGGCTAAAGCGAAAAATATATATTGTTTTAGGATCGACATAGGCAGCGATATGTATAGGAGCAAAAGGTATAGACAAAAATGATAGATAATACAGTCTAATTCAGACCCTGGTAAAAAGTGTTTAGACCCAAGTTTGCTGTCTTTGATGGCGTACATTCGACATTGATACGAAGATAACAATGAGAGAGAGCGCCTTCTCCTCACCAGGTTAGCGATCGTCCAGACACTACCCACACGAACAAAACACAGTGGAGAACACCCAGCAGACACACGTTTGGTAAAGATTGTTAAGGTTAGAATAATTATGGAAGCCTGAAATGCATGATCGCGGAGTAGATTCACGAGGATCACTCGCTTACTAAAACATGGCGCAGACTGTCGAAGAAATGAGCGACTGCGAGTTACGTTAATTAGTCATAGGACCAAAAGCGTGATCCGGTACGCACCAACTTTGTTCAAGATGAAATTGTTGTACTTTACAGCCATACCTTTGGAAGAAATTGGATGTGAAACAAAGATAAAATAACTGGGTGAGTAGAGAATTCCCTACCCCGACAAAGTTTTGCGGCAGTGTTCCACTACGTAATGGGCTTCGTTTGATAAGCGCTCTCCTTATTAGAAAAGCCAAAAATACCTGCTTGATAACACTGCCGTGTGGTGGATTGGGCTCGTCACCAAGCAAATTCACGGTGAAACATCGAATTCCAGCACTGATGCTGAAATTTGATTTCTGTTTGGTAACAGGTCAAGCGAGAGACGTATGAACTAAGGAGATAGTCGCGCGGTTGTCAACCTATCACGTGTCAACAAAATGTCAATATGCTATCTTTCACGCTAGTGGTCGTCCGACTTGCGAATCCTCACGGCTGTGAATGCAAGAATGAAAATAGTTGGCAGAAAACACTTGCTCAATGAAGGAATTAGATGAAATCATGCCACGATTTAACTGCACTGTATCAGCCATTAATTGGATTCAAGAAAAACGGCGTGCGAAAAACCATTACTGTTTGCTTTCAAATTCTCTTTATGTATCCTTTACAAATAGTACTTACGTCTAATCCATGGTTTTTGACGGCTCATTGTTAATATGACAGGCTGTCGCTAATATAGTGTACACAACGCGCTGCCACCCTGGGCTGTAGACCAGTTTGGAATATAATCTTGGATTTACATCAGGCTAAAACTAATGGAAGATTCATCCGCGTTCTTTCAAGAAAGCGGCAAAAACAAGCATTAGAAACAGTAAGCAAGCAATAGTCGCTATCAGCATCAACACACGTTAGCTAAAGGTGAGAAACACCTCAGCTAATGTACCACACACAGTAAAACCTCGAAAACGAGCCGCCTCATAATAACGTTTAACAGCACTAGGTCGCAATGAGAAGAGTGAAGCCACATGGCCAGCGATGCGGTAAGATTTTTGTATGAAGGTAAAGGTCACAGCAGCAAAACTGGCACATGAAAAACCAGTACTCGAGCAGAATACAAAAGGCTGGTTACCATGCGAGATGGAACCAGATGAAATCAGAATGTTTGGCAAGTAATTGATATGTGGCCAAATGGTGAGGTATAGCATAAGAACATGGAGTTTCCATAGTTTAACCCTAACTTGCACCAAGGCGATAATAAAGCTCGCAAAGCCTGAGATGAATGCTAGGAATCCGGTAAACTGGTTAACAATGCAGGATAACAGATACCATCCTTGTACGCGAATGCTGCCAAACAGATCAACTCGAGTCGTGGTTAAACAAAATAAGGAGCACCGAACAAAGCGCTAATAAAAGTCTCGCTCAAATCGGTTTCTCCTTAAGAAACATCAAACTCGGGTTTGTTGCAAGAGAAACGATCTAAGAACGTAGGATAAATGAAAAGCAAACGGTGACACAAAGTACGAGATGAGGGTTAGTGAGTCTACTCCATGTATTGTGGTCAACTAGGCATATCAGCGAAACGGTATTATAAAGGCATTATGAGGACGTTAAGTGATCGAGGAATGGGTTCAAGTAAAGTATAAAAAGTACAAAGATATAATGGGATGATGGAACCAAGGTGCTAGTTTCCCACCTCAATAATACAAACCGAAGCAAGATGCAGCAATGAGGAATAATCGGACAAAAAGGTTTTTACACTTTGTGGACTTTACAATCAAGCAAAACTGGTAGATGGTGTTTGTCAAGGAAGTGGGGCACTCGAAATGATTCTTCGGTCATCATCATCATCATCATCAACAGCAGTACATCAGCCATTTGAACTGATGCTTCGCTGAAGAGAAAGGGGTCTCACCGGAAAACCTTAACGCCCTAAACAAACACTCGGCGTTAAGGCGCCTACAGTTTGTTAACAATATGCCATCACAAACAGCTGGCCATCGTGCAAAGATAAGGCGGAATCGGCGAAACAGCTTCCTTGCGGCTTTCCCTGTCCCCGTCATAATCAGCCATTACCCCGCAGATAACTCAGTGCCAAAGACACTTTAAACAGGCAGTCCGACTAGGAGACGGCAGCAGACGCGCCACTGGTGTCGGTTTCGAGCCATGTCCTGTAAAGTCTCGAGCTAAACACAAGGCGGGTCACGTGGACTACAGCTTTGAAGGGGAGACGGACCAACCGCACCCAGTTTCGTCGTCATTGACTTAATTTCTCGCTGTCAAGTCAACTATTGGCCACCTCGAACCCTGCGACACCTTATCTGACAGATTAAACTAGGCCCTCCTCGGTAAGCGGTGACCATGCATACAGCGTACGTGCCCAAGCCAACTCAATTTATTCAATGCTATCTGTTGTTCTAAGGAACTAGCCAGATTATCAATGCCTAGTACTCTCTTACGCACATCATCGTTGCGGACACCCTGGTTTCATCCGACACTAGCAATGCTTCGCAAACAATGATGATCAAACTTGAAGGCGCCTCAGGTTCTCATAGCGGAGGGGCCAAGTCTCACTTTCATTAAGTGGGACGGTCCTCACTGTAATCTTGTACACACGTCCTTTTAGACGGAGTGAAACTCCTCTCTGTCGCCAAAGGTGTCGCAGATTAAATAACGCAGTTCGGGCTTTTTCAATGCACTCATCGTTGCTGATGCGGCTGCCAACGTAGAGGAAGTGAGCACTTACCTCGAGTTCCTCGCCATCAAGAGTCAAGGGGTCATCGAGTGGCTGATGGTCATGTAAAAACACTTTGCACTTTGAAGGCGAAGCGCAAGAAAACTAATGGGACCATCCTGGGGAGGCTATTCAGGGTTGATTGTGTCGCCCAAATATCATTAAAAAGCATGACAATATCGTCCGCATAATCAAGAGCAAGTAGCTTTTCACCAGGCAGCACCACAACGATTGCATCGTGAAGCTCAGTAAGGGAACACTCTATGATGCAGTCCACGACGAAGTTGAGCAAAAATGGGGAAATTGGACAACCTTGAAGAACGCCACTTGTCGTTGGAAATGCATCCGAGAAATCACCGTAGGCCCTGAGGCGTCCTGTGGGGTTCGAATACAGAGCACGTAAAATGTTCACATATTTCATGGGAACACCCTTCTGTTCAAGTATTTTGAACAGAATACATCGGTCGACTGCGGCGAACGCACTCGTGAAGTGGAGGAACGTAGCTTTTGTCAGCCTGCCGGCATGCGTGGCGATGCTCCAACAAGCGCCGCAGAGTAACTATGTGGTCCACACAGCCCATCCAGAGCGGAAGCCTGCCTGCTCTTTCCTAATCGGTGATTTTCGCTCCGCAGTCAGGCGACAAACGATAATTGAGGCCAGTAATTTTGTCACCCTCGGCGTTTGAGTAATACCCCTGTGGCTAGCACAATCGGTGTAACTGACCTTCATGTATATCGCCAGTATAATTGATTAACTCCAGTTAGCTGGAAGGTCCTCTATCTTCCAGGCCAGTTCGAACGAAGAGGTCAGTGCTTTGCAGAAGACCTCACCTCCATTTTTAAATAGTGCATGTGGAAGGGAATCCAGGCCAACAGCACGAAAATGATTGAGAGCTGCGATCGCGATTCGGATCTCAGCCTCTGACGGAGCCCCTAAACTAATTGGGCGTGGCTCAGCCTGCAACATCTGAATAGAAAGAGGCCAGGAAGCAGGGGGATAACTGAACTGCCATCGAAAGTGCTCTGCCCAACGAGCCATACGGCGCCATTTATTGTGAATCAAGGCACTCTCGCTATCCCTGAATGTCTCACTGACGCCTGGTTTCCTGAAAAAAGTGGTGCAAATCAGTTGTAAGATCATGCGATAATTGCCTACAGCCATTGCCACCTCCATTTTGCGAGCCTAATTGGTCAACCAGGCTTCCTTGTCAGCACACAGGCTCCGCTTGAGTTCGCCCCCAATAGTCCGCCTGGTAACATTGTGCTCAGAGCCAGCCAGGAGTTTCCTTCTGGATTCTAATAGGTTCACCGACTTCTCGGATATTCAATCATTGGTGTGTTGACGCAAGTGGACGCTCCTGAATGTTGTATGGCGTCCAAGATCCTATTCCATTGAAGCTCGATGTCAGTAGGACAAGAGAGCAAAATTTCGATACCCAGTGCATCCTGGTAGGCCTGCCTCACGGAAGGCCTAGATATCTTATCAGTTGCCAATCGACGGAGGCGTTTGGTAGGCCTCCTGGTAAAAGTCATGGAAAAATGACAGCGTACCAAAGCATGATCAGAGTCGACGCAAATATTCCAGAAAGAGCGACAATCCATGATGGAACCACGCCACCTGTAACTTATGACAACCTGATCTAGTTGGGTCCATCGCTGGTCCGCTACAGGAGGACGCGAAGTGGACCTATGGCGGCCACTGTGTCTAAAAGAGGTACTACTAAGAAAAGGGCGATGCTCCGCAAAAATTTGTAACAGACGCACGCTGTTGTCCGCCCGTTCGCTAAGTCCATACCAATTAGCAAAATACTGAAGAGCTCAGAATACCTATTTGCGCATTCATATCCCCTGTAAGAACTATGGTCTTTGAACTGGTAATACTGCGCAGTAGGCTGTTTAATTCGTGGTAGAAAGCATCCTTCGCAGCATCAGAGCTGCAATCAGTAGGAGAATTAGCGAAAACCACAAACAGCGTCTAGTGCAACTCCATGAATCCACCTTAGCTGATGTCGTCAAACGGACTGCAAACAAACGGCTGTTCACGGGAATCCGATCAGCCAACAATGATACAGCCTTGGAGCTGAGAACAATGTCCACTCCAGCTTGACCGGAGGCAGGCGCATCGGTGTCGCCGGAGGCGTGCAACCACTAGCGTGAAGATAAACCGGGTGCAAATGGCGAGAGGAGAAACTGGGTCACGCGGAAGAAGCCAACATTTATTACTGTAATAGCGGAGAAGTGATCGTGACCACTAGGTAGATTTTGACCAAATCATCTAAGTAAAATACAACGCAAAAATGCGCGCTCGAAAGCGGAGCAAATTTGGGCAGGTTCTAACTGAAGCGAGGCCTAACCGTAAAACCACGATAGCTTGACTTCCAGTTCACTTCAGGTTACCGAGATGCGTTGGACCGAATTGCTAGGAAAACAATAAATAATAATTGTGATAAAAAATAACGTATAAGCGAGCCAGAATACGGAAGACGGAAGATCAATAGGTACATGCAAGAAACCTAATGTCCCTGTGCCAATGACCCCAGAACTGCGCCAAGTTCGCCTGGTCCTTTAACCAGCGATGCCTCAATCCACGAAGAGGGCAAGCAACAGCCTAAGCAAGTCTGTTCTGTGCTTCTGCTTCTGTGACACACCACTGACTAGCTACCTCATGGCTTCACTAAATCAGGTAAAGCAACAGCATATAATGCATAATGAGGAAGGCCGTCAACACCCGTACGGAAGACATGACCTAGCCAATGTAAACGGTTCAATTTTGGCACACAATCCATAGAGCAGCAGAAGACCATTTGCCAATTGGTGCTAATTGGTGGATCTCAGAATCACTCACCCGGTGTTCACATCTGATGTGAGCAATACTCCGCAATCAGCTGCAATCAAACATGGTCAACCAGTTAACGTCTTCAGCGCGAAACGGTCAAGTCTCTGATCCATAAGGTCGCATGGCTTCATTATGGTATTCAGTGTAAGGATGATAGTTCATCTCCTCAGATCACCGAGTCTCGGAAAAGACACACGTGGTACACTGAGACGCGAAGTAACCGCATCAGTTACGTGATCACCAAAACTGATGCAGCCAACAAGGTAAGTAAACCGATCCACCTCTTCCAACGGGTTTTCGCTGATAGAACCGGCGGCGTGCTGGCCAAAGCCGGCGACAGTGTTTTGCACTTTGAAGAGGTAAAGCATATGCCGAAGCGTTCGGCGCTAAACGTCATTTTACTCAGTGGTTCCTGCGTAGCCACTGAGTCTGATCCAGGGAGAGCTATGGCATCTGCATGCTCAATGTCAGTTAAGCTTACACTAGGCAGAACTCCCACTGCAGTAGGAGCCGATATGATAATTACTTATGGCCACTACGATCACAAAATTGAAGAGGAAAAAAGATATAGGGCAGTCCTGGTGAACCCCAGTTGTCATGAGAAACTCAAGAGATAGCTACAAGTAAACCCTTACCTGATCTGGAGAGTCGCGGCAAATTTAGGAAAGAAAAGCAGTTTCATTAGCATGTTCTCCACCGATAAGTGGTACCACAAGTTGGCATCAGCCACAGAGTCAAAGGCGGTTTTCAGGCCAAAGAAAATCTCAATAGTTGGTCAGCGGTAGGTGTGACTCCACTATAAGATCGAGGAGTAAATGTATGGTCGATGAAACCACGACTAATGCCGGACTGGCATTAAGTGACCCAGTTCTCACGGGACTAGAAGTCATCGGAGAAGGATACGTGTGGGAAGTTTCGAGGCAACAGAAATAATACTGATGTCTCGGTGATCTTCGCGCAGTATTTTGACAGTCAAAACCTGAAGGCAACCCTTCGGCGTCCCCAATAGTGATGCATAGAGCTGCAAGTTTAACCAAGAAGTCACCTCTGAATTTGAGCAGAAATGGAAGGGTCCTGATTTCGCTTCACCATAGCAAGTTTATGTCGAATGTCTTCCAAATTGGAAGGTGTGACATAAGTTTCCCACATGGGTTCGAGTAATACAGCAAGCGGCAGTGTCACAAAATGTCTACAGAACTGATCCCCAAAATGTTCCGCTATAAAGGCCAACCGATGCTGTCGAGAGTGGATCAACTATCCGGTGATTGCCCACGCCAATCTGTCTCGTAAAATCAAGGAGAAATACCTTTCTATTTAGTTCCTTCGCAGATATTGTCTCATTAATTGGTGGCTTTAGTGGGCCCGTGTTTCGGAGAAATTGGAACAGTACTCTTTTATCCCCAAATGCACTAGCAATCAGGATCTCAAAAATCTCTTGCGACCCAGAGGCGTTCCCGGTCAATTCAAAGACTCCTTGTCAATCAGCTTTTCAGAGCATTAAAGAGACGCTGGAAGTGAATAAAACGGAACCCCGTTTCCCTACTTCGATCAAACTGATAGATGCTTCACTCGCAACTGGGGACTGTACTGCAGGCTGTAAAGGCACTCATCATGACACATTTGAGACGATTCCAGTTGGCATTCGGCTCGCCACCCTCAGTCGTCATACAGACCAGTTCGTCGTATTACTGCTGAAGACCCTGGGCCCAGGTTAAAAGAGACGAGCATGGAAGCTAGGTGCTTTACTGAAGCCGGAAGAGTGAATGCCACGTGTGCGCGCACTACAGCATGATTGGAATCTAAGCACGTGCTCGAAAACGACCGACAGTCTTGAACTGACGTGCGCCCTCTGTGGCTGAGGGAAATATGATCAATTTCGGTCAAGGTCATGAAAGAATTAGGTGGGCACCAAAGGATGCGATGTGTACGTATGTGTCGGAAAGAAGTGCTGCTGATATAAAGAATCTGATCAGCGCACCTAGTAGAAGGATTTAATCGAGCTTCCCTGTTCCGCGTGCGTGGACCGCGAAACAGACTGTAAAGTGTTGTTCGGAGTCCGAATGGCGACCTAATTTGGCACCCTCATATCGTGAGTGATAAGCATAATATCTTCGCCAGAAGGAGAAGAGATGAGAGTCGACGACAGAATCAGCTTTCGAAACGCTCAAAGCTGCAATTGGTGAGGGTATAAACCGAAACAATGAAAAGGCACATTGTTTTCTGACGGTGATTATTTACACCAATGAAGATGCAACTTCGAACCGCACACAAGCAAGTGTTAACTGGTTTACATCACATCTGTTCAGAACATTACCGGTATTGTAAATATCTGTGTATTGATTCAGTATCGATAGAGACGCAAACAATGACATCATTGTCTGCAGATTCGGAACTAGGGAGTAAAAGATTCGTCACGACGCTGTTATCATGTGCGCGTGTTTCGGAGACAGCACGCAGCAACACCAAGAGAGTGAAAAGTGAGATTTAATACATATACTGACCGATCTGACTCAAAGTGCAAGCGTTAAACGTGCAGTGTTCAATGAGATTATTAGTTTGAAGAGGAGTTAAGTGCACCGATAGCAGCAGCCGCAGTCAGTGGCAATCTCCCGCTCAGTATACGGAGAGGAGGAAAGTTGCAGAAAATAAATAGTAAAAGCGACTGGGTCTAGGGGGCAGACGATACTCTTTAGTTAACCACCCCGAGAAGCTATGTTTAAGGTATCCTACCTAACCACCAAGGCAGTGCGGAACATGGCGTTTTGCTTGAAAAATTTTCTCCGGAGTCCTTCAAAATAGTCTGACCCGTAAGTTAATGGGGAATAAGGCCAGCTAAGGAATGTGATTGCAGTCCTACTGGAATCTGCTCGAGGTCTGCCACACAGTCTTTGAAGATTAAGAACAATTTGCAAGCGTTTCCGACTGTAAGTATACGCACCAGCGATCACAGCAAATTACAGGTGAAATTTGGCTAGGTTACATCATTTTAACCAAGGGGTGTATAACTTGAAGTAGGAGATAGCAGTCGATAGAACCCCAGATGGCACCCTCCCACCGTCAGAGATAATGCGTGGTACATCTACTCGACGTCAACCGAGTTTTGAGCTTTTAACTTGCAACTTTTTACCTCCCACTGTCATGTTTTGAAGGAAATGGGTCATCGATTTCCCCCTCCCTCCAACCTCCAAAAAGTATGCTGAAAATGAGTTGGTCTGACCCCTACCCATTGACTTGCCCGGTATGAGTGGCTCTGAAGGCATTTGGAAAGTGCCATCCAGTTGTTGCTCAATGGGTCACGGAGGCACACCAAACAGCTTAAGGTCTGGCCTCGTCACGATGGAAGCAGTGACATTATAGAGTAAATAGTGAGAAAAGATTGATCAAAATGACTAAGATCAGTCATACAGAAAAGTACTTTGTGTTCATTTTGAACAATCTGACGCAACTTCAACTGAACCCAGAAAACCGGAGAAACGCGTTAGTCAGATAGTCTATATCTGTGTCGTGTAGTATTCGGAAGCAAAAACAATAAATACGCTTGTGAAGGAGAAAGAAAAACCCACATAAAATGAGAACTTACGTTTTGTTGGCAGTGAGAAGAGGGCTGAGGTCATAGTAGTAGGCGGTTGCGTTGATGGCGCCGAAGAGTTAGCTGTTCCAAAGCTGAAAAGCGTCAACGGTGAAGAAACGGAGGATGTAGCAACAGATGAGGTGGCGGAGATTGACGGAAATTTGAACGGGGAGAGGGATAAAGATGTCGTTATGATGGAAGAGCTGAGTGAAGGAGAGACAGTTGACGTTAACGATGAGGTAGCCACTGTTACCGATGAGCCCAATGAAGCAAACGGTGCAACAGAAGTGGCAGGTGAAGCGATAGAAACAGACAGTGGAGTAGTCGGAAGAGAAAAAAGTGCGCTTGATGATGAAGTTGAAATAACTACACTCGAGACTGCGGACGTCGTCCGTAAGTTTGAGAAAGTATTCTTGCTCTCAGAAGACGAGAAGCTAGCATCACTAATATTTGATGTGGCAGTAGCCTTTGTAATAGTAGGAAATGAAAAAGTGAAACTCGGAGTGGTGGTAAGCTGCGTAGTTAAAACAGGTTGGTTAACCGATGACGGTAAACAGGTTACGATAGGCGTAGTGGTGGACCAAGTTGGATTCAGAGGGGTCAGCAAAGAAGCAGAACTGGTGAGTATTGATGGGACAGAAGCAGTGAACACAGGCATGAACGGAGATATTTCTGTTTTAGTTGTGGAATGTCCCGATTGGCAGACGCTTGATGATAGTGAAGGCATGGGTGAGGACACAAGCGATGAAGAACTGGAAGAGAGAAGGTTCCGGATACGCGAAACCCGTGAATCCAAATCCGATGGAGAAAGATGGTGCTCGGATAGATGGGATTTCCACCGGGGGTGGGGCGTAGCATACTCTTCGGTGGCCGAAGCATTAGAATGGGAACCATGTGCTTCGAGGCTGGCAATGAATTGAGCAACCGAATTCACTTTGCGAGGGCCTAGTGGTCCAGCTTCCGATGTGTTTACATTAGAAGCACTAGATGATTCGGACAAAACTAGACGTTGAGGTGATGAATATTGCAAATCTATGTCAACCGGTGCTGACTGCTTCTGAGTCCGAGGGGCAGGAGAATCCTGCGCCCGTATACGAGAGGTGGGTATGGGAGAGAAATCATCCATATCAGATCTACGTGAGTCGTCATTAAGGCTGGGCTTTAAGGGGCCATTTTTCTTGGACTGGAACAGAGCATCCAGTTCAGCGGGCGACATATAAGGAATACGACGCCTGATGGAGGCCTCAGATGATGACACTGGTGCAATTTTATAGCAGGTGTTCCCATAGTTCAAAGAATGCGAATCGGTTTTTGTTGGTTGATGTTCGGTAAATCCATTTCGAGAGTCAATTGGAGAAGGATGAGACGTAAACATTGACGGTGAAGTGGGGAAAAGATGGCCGTTTGTTGAGGACTTTTTAAGCTCATGGATGGACGTGAATCGGAATCCATCAGAATCGTGGTTGTCCCCAAGGGAAGATATATCAATTGTTTTCAGAGCCGACGCAGACTCAAGGCGCCTTCGTTTAGAATCTTGGGACGTAGATTGGTCGAGTGTGGCTGCAGGAGACAAATCGCAAACGACAGCGGACGGCAATCGCTTTTTGGATTCAAGCATACGCATACCGAGCTCAATGGATGAGGAGGGTTCCATTGCTTCTAGCGCGAAGGGCTGAACCACAGCATTCCTTGGTGTCGGGAACGGAGTTTGAAAAGTGAGGATTGATAACAAGGATCAGGTTGAAAGTTAAGCAGAGTTGGGACGGCAGTGGGTTGACGGGATCGGAACGGTGAGTTCAGGCGACGAGAAGACTGTGGTGTACCAAGCCTTTGACGAAAAGCCTGTGAAACACGAGAATTCCGTGATGGGCAGGAGTGGTCAGCACTTGGCTTAGGTAAAAGAATCCGAGATATATAAGAATGGGGACTCTGTGAAATCGGAGAATGGCTGTATGAGTTCCAAGAGTCCATTGCAATAGCTGGAAAAGAAAGTAAACGGAGACCAATATCACCTGAGGACAACAACACATCGGGCGGAAGGAAAAAGGCATAAGTTTAAAACATTTTCTAACTAGAATACAAGAGGAAACAGCCCAAAGTTAGAAGAGGAAAAGTGGTGAAAGCTGTAATCAAAACATGGGCCCATAGTGCAATGTAGAGAAGATAAAAGTGCCTCGCACTTTAATTCAAGCAGGCCAGGAGCGAAACGTTCGGAAGCGTAACGATGAGGACGACCCTCGCCATTCGTGTACAACCTCACCAATGTGGAATGGAAAAGAAATCAGAGCAACTTACTCGACTTTCAAATATCGAAAAACGAAGTTTAAGTATATCAAAGCCAGAGGTGCTATTCGTATAGCCTTACAATAATAATAATAATAATAATAATAATAATAGTGGCATCCTGAAGAAAGGGTCACCAATCCTCGCTGATCTAGCTCGATTAGATACATGCACATAATCAGTAGAGTAGCCGATCTATGAGATCGTTTGAACCGACGCCTTTCGTATCTCTGATGTTTGTCGCACCCAGACTTAGGCAGGCAGCAAACAGACAACAGAAAGCCCGATAGACCGCCGGCATTTCCAACTGGAACTCGTCAGCAGCTCGCATCCCATATAAGGATACGGGAGCCGAACCAGTAACTTGCAGCTAAGTCAATGGCCAAGATCGCTAAGCCACGGGTGAAGGTGGTGAACGAAAATGACCGATTGCTAAATGCGACAGTGTCTCGACCCCCACTGCCAACTGCAAGTGAAGAGAAAGATGACATCCAGAGCCACGAATTCAATCAATAATACAGCAATCATATTATATTTGGTTGGCGGCATCCAGTTTCGGATTTGCCTGTCACTGAGGCCAGCCACAGGACGCCTACGCCTACAGATGGACCATGGATGGCATGCGCTGCACCATCCACAGCCCCAACCACACACCTAGTGTAAACCCGGTGTAAACCCGAAGGAATAAGACCGGGAGGTACGCGGATGGGAGCCACGTTTCATCAACGGAGCCGGCCCACACTCCTTCACAGGCAAACACAAGCACGCTGTACTTGGGCAATCAACCGCACACAAGGCGGTGGCTGGACCGTAGTCCGCTACACACTGAGTACATGGAACCACTCTTCGAGCCTAGCACGACCACAAGCATCGTGAACCCCGTCCCCTCCAGCAAACACCAACTGTCTTTCAGAGCCAGTATGGACGAGGTAGTGGGTAATAGACAGGTAGGCACCTTGTCAACATGCACATCAAGCGCAGCCATACCGGGGATGTCAAACAACAGCCAATCACTTGAGAGAAAGATAATGAGGAAAATAAATCAAGTAATGCATAAGGAAACGGGGACATAAAGCTTAAATTAATGAGCATATGAAACAAGTTGTTTACAAACGAATCCGAGATAAGTTCACGAGGTCAGAAAGTATATTTTACGGAAATGCCACAAACAGGAAAATGTTGGTTTAAGCGACGTGTGCAATTTTATAGAAGAGAGTACTAGTAGACATTTATATGAGAAAGAAAAGCATTAGGACAAAATTGCAAACCCACCACCTGCAATAAACAGACTTAGCATGCAAGCACGCGGTTAGTAAATCGAATGCAGCGTACCCACAAACGCTGCACCGGTTCTGCTTACGTTCTCTGCAGCACCCATCGTCGTTTCGGTGGTGGTCCCGAGTCGCTTCGCTCATAGCTCACTAGGCCTGCCTGACTCAGGCACTCGAGACCACATGTGCTACAGCCCTACGCACTCGACATCGATGGAGTTCAACCCACCGGTGCTTGCCGCTTCCGCACTTGCCGCTTCTTCTCTGCATACATGAGGTCTTTCTCCCGCATCTCGACAACTGCCTTCGTGATCAGATCGCACCATGCACGCCGATCAACCGCCTTCGATTCAAAAGATCTGCAATCAATATTAGAACGTGAGAGGCTCACTGCGATCATGTCCTGGTAACGTAAGTTTGGTTTCCCCACATGCCGCTTCCCAATACTAAGCTGACCACATAAGAGTTGTTTCGGTATCCGCGTTGAATCCATACGGCTCACATGACCCAGCCACCTCAGGTGCCTTAGCAAAAGTATGCAGTCTAATGTATACATCCCACTTCGGCGCAAAACTTCCGTGTCAGCAACTCTGTCGCTCCAACCGATGCGCAAAATCCGTCGCAAACACTGCTGATGGAACCGCTCGAGATATCGCACATCCCGCAGGTACATCGTCCGCGTTTCACTGCCGTATAGAAGAACAGCAGCAGCATGGATTCGTACACCATCAGCTTCGTGCCAATGGTAAGCTGATGGTTGTTATATATATATATATATATATATATATATATATATATATATATATATATATATGCAAGCAGAGTGATTGCCTGATGTTAACAGAACAGGGGGCTCTGAGGACGTTAAGGCTCATCGAGACAGATTCAGTAGAAAAAATAACAACAAATCAGGTGCAGTTTAGTCATAGAAGTTGCTTATGGTAACCCAGTTCGGAAAGTAAACGAAAAAGATTTAACAGTAGATGCAAATAACCGTTTAGGGTTGCAGACTGCGAATAAATGTTGGCATCATAGATGGACATGGCTGACAATCCGTGCATCCTTACCATTTACTTCAGAACACGAAGTGGAGAATGATAAAACCAATGAGTCTAAAACAATGAACTTCTCGACAACGGCGTTTCGCGTACAAACCTCCGACGGCTGAGTCATGTGTAACGCATGCCAGTACACCGAGTCCTGTGATCTGAGTGGTATGCTCGACCGCAATCCGAATGGGAGAAGAGAGGCCAGTTGATGATCTGGCTAAGAGGAATGAAGATCCACACTTCGAACTTGGCGTCGGTTGGGGTCTCTGGACCGTTGGGTTTGGGTCCTAAAGACGATGAACATGACTGGTTGGGTACACTAGCTAATATGGCTAGGATCCGACTTCAGTAGCGTTGGTGTTGTGAGTTTCTTTGTCCCTCCCCTTCCACTAAGCAACCCGCTCTAACAACCATCTCACACTCCATGCGTAACATGACAGCTCGCACCACATCACTTGTTTTTTTATTGCCGTGTAGTGCCTTTTGGTGTTGCCGCACAATAGCTAGTGTTTTTTGCCCTAACTAACGCGTATGATGATGTGGATGAATCGTGGAGCAGCCCTTTACACTTCAAAGGGGCAAGTACATACCATACATAGATGCTTCAACCACCAAACGGTTCAGGATGATTTACATGCTCTGTGGCTCATCGTCAGGTAAGACGTCATCAGTATAATCTAAGCCGGTCGGTGCGCACCCGGTAGAAGCTGTAAGCCTAAATTTTGAAAAACTTCTAAAGCTCACGACATGACGTCTTCGATGTTAAAATCGAAGGGGAACGGGGATATAGGACATACCTGTAGCACACGGCTATTGACAGCGAAGTGCGAAGAAAGTTTACTGTGGATAGGTAATGGTGATGATGATATAGGACAAATGCAAGGAACTTGCGTCAAGAGCGACAAGTTACCGCAGTGCAAACATATACACAACCAATTTATTTTCAAATGCTTCCCAACTCAAGAGTTATTAACAGGTTTCATGGTTATTTCGAGAAAATAATATTGTGTAATGTTTTTATTGCGCGTCACTAACGGGAAGAGGAGCAACACCCAAATAACTACAAAACAATCAGCGTTTTTCAATAATCTGTGCAATTGTTTGAGACTGCGTAAGAGAGACACTGACAGCCTTATTGCCCATGCAGCGACAGTGAAGCGGGAATTCAGACTGAATTTGCTTACCGAAGATCAGATATAGTGCTTGATATTGGTATGAAGCAGTCTGTGGTCCGCCAAAGACGTCGATATCCATAGCAGTAAGTATTGATGTGGGAAACAGACTCGGATGTCACATAAAAAACTTCATTGCTGACGCCCAAAACTGTATGAATTTAGAGCACGACGCAGCTATCGTGGAGGATTCAAAGGTGCATCCTGGTGATATATCTCTGTCTAGGAAATTTTCAGAAGTAACACACCAGCATCTCATCACAGGAGATGTCCACAAGGCAAACCCCCATTAGCTTGGTGGAAATGTGGGGACTAGCATTTTGTGAGACAATGCTCTTGCACCAAACTAGTCTATCAGAAGTGTTACAGACGCAGACACAAGACCAACTGTGTAGATTCAAAGCATCGTTCAGGCCAGCACATGATTCCCGAAAACAAGGTCACCAAAAGTTTACAAGAAGGGCATAAGCCGAATTCACCAGCAACGTTAAAGATAGAAGAAGGTTTCATTATCAGCATTAACGGGAGAATGACGAATGTACAGATTAACACAGCTTCCGACATCATAACCAATACGGAAAAGTTGTGGAAATCTATTGGTGCACCCGACATCAAGCCGGCCGGCTAACGAGCGACGAGCGCAACAGGCATTAAGTTGAATCTGATCGGTCAGATTGAATGTGAGAGTCGATTTGCCGATTTCACCCTTTGGGGAACTATTTTTGTCACAGGTCACATGAACTTGAATCTACTTCGGATTAGATTGGAGAGCGCCTCAAACTCCTGGATGTTCCCATTGACCAGATCTGAGCGAGTGCTCAGCTACACAATTCAAAGGTCTAGAAGACAGTGGCTATTGAACACATTCGAAAGAAATGTGTTGTCGGTTTTCGTGAAGGACATAGTAAGTGTACGAAGATACAAGTCTCATTGTTCTTAAAAGCAGATGCTGATCCGATTTTCCGTGCAAGGCGGCCAGTAACTTACGCAGCAGTGCCAGTTATTGACCAGGAACTAGATCGTTTGGAGAAAACTGAGGTTATTCATGGAGTGAGCTACACCTATTGGACTGCTCTGATCGTGATGGTCAAGAAGACGAATGGCCAGATCCGTATACGTGCTAGACAGGACTGAATGAAGCACTAAACAAGCAGTATCGTCTACCGATTCTAGATAATGTATTCTTTAAACTAAATGGGGGTCGGTGTTTTTTTTGCAAAGTTGGATCCATGGGATGCGTAGCCACAATTAAAGGTTGGTGAATCCTCAAGAGAATTAGTGAAGACAAACATGCACGGAAGGTTGTATCAGTATCATCGGCGCCAGCAATGTTTCAGCAAATCAGATTGTTAAAAGTCCTTCGAAGGGGTGAAACGAATGCTGAGTTCGGACCTCTTTGTAACTCATTACGACCATACAAGTGAAATCATGGCGGTGGCAGACGCTTCGAACCATTGCATTGGGGCAGAATATCTCCCAAAAGCTCGATGACGGTACAGAAAAAGCAATTGCATATACAGCCCGATCCTTATAACCAACCGAAAGTAATAACAAGTAGACATAGAGGGGACTGGGGATAATATCCGCAAAAAATGAAACTCAAAAAGGTTGTATAGAAGATTCACCTTTCTTACGGATTACAAGAAAACTCTTCGCAATATTCAGAAAGTAGTCTGGCATACTCGTCTATGCTGCGAACAGACTGCACCGTTGCGTCACGTCTTTACATGCCTGTTATTTCGTAATGAAGTACACGGCTACTAACGACATCGGCTAAGAAGACGCAGTTCCCGATGCACATACGATAAAATCTCCCAGTAAAACTCTTTATTTCAATGAGAAAATATGTTGAACCAATGGTGTACCACAGAGATGTGAAGACGTTTTAGGAATGTTCGTGTCAGGAAAGTTCACGTCTACACGACGCACGTACCCATCTCCCAACCAGAGCAACTGACCTGGCTGCTCTGGAAAGCGTTCATGGGCTGGCGTACAAATATCCACATATTTTTAAACTACTTATTTCCATTTCGGTAGTTGTTACTACAACACGCTGACATCTGATTTCGGCTGCGATTCGGAGCGAGCAGAAGACAATTTCACCATTATCAACTGCACACGTTAGCTGCACGTAGAAGACACTACTATACCGGAACACTAAAACAATGAAACAGAGGAACGCCGGTTGAGTCACTAGTAACGGGTGGATATCGTTCCGGAGAGCTAACAGCCGGCCATTGTGTCGCAAAAGGAGTCATGATGCCTAATAAATGAGATCGTCGTTTGAGTGGGAGGCCAAACGAGAGGAGAACAAGGAACTCACAACACAAATGACATGAGGTCGGCTCCTAGCCATGTCAACAAGTGTATCCAGCCAAACCAGTTCATCATCTTCCGGACCCCAACCAAGGAGGCGACGTTCCAACCGAGGCTAGCTTCAAAGTGAGAGCCTTGATTCCTCTCGACCAAGTCATCATTTGGCCACCACTTTTCTTATGCACTGTACACGCTACCGTTCAGGGCGAGGGTGATATCGCGCTGGCTCTGTAGGTGGCGAAGGTCAGCAAAAGCGTCCCTAGCTTTTGCTATACGGCTCGTGATCTCGTCTTCGATCCCAAGGGCATTGATACAACTTCCAATGTAGTTGAGTTTTGGTAGGGCTTCCAGATGATCCACGCAGAGTCAGTGCAAGAGGCGGTCCCTGTCAATCTTGGAGGAAAGCTTTGCACTTAGAAAGTGAAAAGCATAGCCCGAAACGGCTGAAAGTCAGTGCTAATCTGTTTAGTGCTGTATGGCACGTTTGTCAGCTGTCACAGCTTAGGGCAATATCATCAGCATATTCTTTAGTAGCCCTTAAACGAACAGGCGTTGTACACGACGCATCCGGCGGTCCTTGGCCATGTTAAACAGGGAAGCGGACGAAACCACCAGTCGGGGACGAAGTCGGCCCTTACTGTAGATGGAGAAACGTGGTAGATGATGGTCCCAAAGTAGATGCGGAAGAGATGAAGTCGAGCAAAAATAATGGCACATCGGCATCTGGTCCCCAAATCGGGGGAAAGTAAAACGGAATAGAATCGGAAGACTGCAGAAAGGATGGATCCATTTAGTAAACAGCCGATGCATTAGTAAGGGGCCCCTAGCTAGTGACAGGCCATTGACGGTGTATGAAAAGGCACTCCGATCTACCGCACTTTCAGGGTCAAAACACATTTTGACGAGTGGGAGCAATAATAGGGCTTGATGACAAGTTATGGGATTGTCTCCAATGAAGACAACAGGAGCGGTATGAGGTGGGGTCATGGTCGACACGGCGCATGTTGTTCTTACGGAGGACACAGTGAGCATTTGCATATCGCGCTCCAGCACGATGGCCATCAGAAACACTAAACAAATGTTGAAGACTGAACTACACTGTTCCAAGTGGAAACTTGTTCCTGTGTGGGGAACGAAACGACAGTGGTATGTAATGCTATGAAAAAATATCAACAGTACTGCGGCACGTTGTAGCGAGGCTTCGCTTCTGCGCAATCATCATCCGTTACGAGCAGGCTAATCATACAGCGACATTCACAAGGTCTCTAACGCAAACGCAAAGCAGTGGCATCCGGATTGCAAGATAAAAGTCATGACTTTTCGGCCATGACAGTTCCAAGGCTGTTTATGAGCGGCAATTGCTCCACTAAACTCACAAGCGTTTGTAATTCCAAAGTGATGATTAGCCGTTGATTTCGCTGATAGAAACCAGAGTAAGCGGTAACTGTGGATTTCCCACTAGTGCAGATGCGTTTGAGGGCTCTTATAGAGAAAATGAAATATAATGAGATAGAAAAATCGGAAAAAACTTCTTCCAGAGCAATTCCTCTGAGGCGTCTATGGGGAAAATTAATTGCCACATAAAACAGTGCACATGAAATCATCGAGTTGAATAGGAATGTACCGGTCTGTGATTCCTGCTGGGATAGAATGGAGGTAATTGTCTACCGACTATTTCCAACCGGCCACGTCCATGCGTGTGCAGTACGAAGTCGGAGGAACACAATTGTGGGAAGCGGACCCAACCACTGCCGCCATATATGTAACGTGCAATGGTCTTAGAAGGAGAAAAGCCAATCCGATGGGTTAAATATGAAGGAACACACGATTCCAACGGTTGTCACATAACGATCAATGAAACCCAGTGGGTAAGGATAGAACTGAGTGAAAACAAGTATAGAGAACGTTCAATTTCAGGTACAGGTAGGGCTGGAACAAAAAGAGAATCTTGTGTTCCTTCTTAAGCGGGTGGTTGAGCCAGTTCATATCGTGCTCTGAGGCATTTGTGTATCTAAAGTAAACACCCGAATCACACCATGGTCAGCCAACTAGCACCCACGTTTACTACACCAGTGAGCCCTGTGGTATTAGTCACGTGAAGTAAGCAAGAGATGGAAAGAAAACAGAAGTTAGAGTGGAAGGGTGATTGTGTAGTAGAAAGATGACATTAAAGATTGAAGCAAAGCACAGAAAATAAAATGAAGATAAGATGAAGGATATGGTCAGGAGAATGGAAAGGATTTGTGTTGCCAACCAACGACGTTCAACTGGTGCCCAAAACCTTTAACCGTAGGTTCACCGACTACACTTTCTGGAAAAGAGCTCTAGCGCTCGAAAACACTACGCGATAACCGAGTTTCCCAACTAATCCGGAACGCGAATTGTGTAGCTTCATGAAATGATCACGAAGACAAGACAATTTAGCCGGGCTAAATAACCAAAATACATCCGGTGCAAACTTCCCAGTTAAGATACGGTACATGAGGGTCAAGTCTTCTCGAAACCAGGTGGGGTCGAAAGATAATAAGAACAGTTTCACAAAGATGTCGGCAGTTAACATTGCGAAATTACCGTGTAGTAACCATAACGGAACCCCCTAAGAAAGGCACCAGCAATACGCCGGTATGCAGTACCGACGCTTCGCAGCCACGCAACAACCAAAAATTATACGTGGGATAAAGATACTGCGAAGATCACCCGGTCACTATGAAAGTTCGTACCCGGGAGCTCCGAGTACAGGAAAAAAATCCCATAGGAAAACTCCGTAATTCAAAAGAAAAGCAAGCCGGGCCAATTGTGTACAACAGACATCAAGTGGTCTCAGGAACATTCGCCTCAGGAACGTTTGGGCCCATACGATGTGCGCACCGATCTTCTCATTGGCTAGCGGAACTGATCTACCAATCAGGACAGCTGACTTAGCTGTTCTGCTACGTCAATGTTCCTTGGCTGGCCTATAAAAATGCCCCTTGATTTCACACTGATTGTGCCCGTTTCGATAGCTGGTTCCACAACACGCTTTTGTTTCCACGCTTTGCCTTCTGCTTTTCGACTGGAGTTCGCAGCTGGCAGGAGACTAATTCAGTTCAACCGAACTCGCAGACAGACGTAGATGGTAACAAATGGCGACGGGCAAAAGTGACAACATAATGCATTTATCTGCAGGAGAATTTCAAAAGCTGCTAAGACAACAGCAGGCACAAATGGAGAAGTAAATGAAGCGGATCAAAATCCTAACGCAGCGGCTCAGTCTGTAGTGTTCAGAAACAGCTTCGTGGGACACGCAGGCAAGTTCAGTTGATATCCTCCGCAATTTCATTACTGAATTCAATTAAGATGCTGATTCCGGAAGCACTTTAGAGACGTGGTTCAGACGCTGGGAGGATATGTTCAGGACGGATTTCAGCCGTCAGGATGACTCCTGGAAAGTGCGACTTCAGCTCCGTAAACTGGGCACAAATGAACATTCAAGAGTAGTTGATCACATACTGCCGAAATAGCTTTTCCGAAGTGGTGTCACAACTCAGCGCAATTTTTAGTGTGTCGCCATCACTATTCAGCATTCGCTATCAGTGTCTGAAATTCGTCAACCGGTACACAGACGACTATGGGGTGCTGGAAGACATGGTGAAGCGTGATTGCGGACGCTACAAGCTGCGCCCATTAACAGATGACCAATTCAAGTGTCTCATATTTACCGGTCCCCGCAGAATGACGAGATCCACATAACACTACTCTTCAAACTGAATGGAGACCCAGAAACGACGTTGAAGTCCGTCACGGGCGAGTGCAAACGATCGAGGACTCTGAAACACAACACCGCCATGGTCGAGAATCTTTCTTCACAACCGCGAAATGTCCATGCTGTGACAGGTTCCAAAATCTTCGTGTCGGTCCTAATTCGCAGGGTTTCAACGACTAGAGAGCAGTTTTCTCGAGAAGAAAAAGCCGGATTTCGTCCAGGCCGCGACTGCATCGACCAAATCTTCACGCTTCGCCAACTTCTCAAACTCCGTCACACCCACCGGCAGCCAACAATCGCAGTGTATTTGGATATCCGAGCGGCATTTGATTCAGTAGATAGATCTGCGTTGTGTAACTGTTTACTGAAGAAGGTGGGCCCAACAAGTTTGTAACCATCCTGAAAGAACTTTACAGTCACACGTCGGGAAAAATGACGGTATACGGCACGCTCTCTTCTTCGTTTGTTGTGACCAGCGATGTTCGCCAAGGTTGCCCTATTTCACCTTTCCTCTTCAATTTCGCCATCGAAGATGTCGTCCAAAGAGCACTGGAAGGTGTCCAAAACTTCGCAGTTGAGCTCCTCTTTGGAGACAGAGTCATGGACTTGGGCTACACCGATGATATCGCCTTGCTAGCGGACGACCAACAAACCGTCCCGAGTGCTTTGGACCGCTTAGCGATGAAGGCGTCTATGCACGGCTTATGTTTCACTAAGGGAAAATGTAAAACGTTGCTCCAGAACTGGCAGGTGCCTGAACCCGCGCTGGACATATTCTGAAACAAGTCTCTTGCTTTATTTAGCTAGGGAGTTGTATCACGGCTGGTAACGGTGCTGGAGATGCAGTCTCACAACGGATTGCAAAGGCCCGCCTTGTATTCATCAAACTGAGACACCTATGGCGTCGTCGTGACTTCTGTCTCAAGCTCAAGGGCAGGTTGTACAATGCTTTCGTCCGTGCAGTACTCTTGTACGGCTGAGACGATCTATTCGCTCGGAAGACATGAAGCGGTTATCAGTCATCGACAATCGCTGTCTACGAAGGATTGCTCGGATGTGGTAGAAACACCGCGTAAGCAACGCAGAGGTCCGAGACCGAGTGCTTGGAGCGAGCAGTGCCAGTCTTCAGAACGTTATTCTCCGACATCGCATGCGTTTGCTCGAGCACGTTATGCGCAGGCCAGCCCTTCGCCTTCCACGCCGAGCGATAATTGCACTGCCAGGGAGCGACTGGAAAAAGTGCTCCGGTGGATAGTCAATGACGTGGAGAAGGAGCATGATGAAGTCAACCTCAAGTTTGGCGGCAGTAGGACTAGTGCCCCTTATAGGTTGGGGACAACGAGATGCATAATCTCAGCGGTTGGAAAAGTTGAATGCAATGTGTAGCAACAGATATCGGGGTCAGCAATGTTGTTCTGTCACTTTATCCCACACTAAATGCACATAGAATTGCAAGAAAGAAAAACGAAAAAATCGAAATGGCGTATGTAAAATCCGAAAAATCGGTTTCCACTTCCTTATAGCATTTTGGGTTTTATCATCTCCATATTTTCTGTAGTGGTTCTGATAGTCCAATGAAGGTTAACAAACTGCAAATAATATACATATATATATATATATATATATATATATATATATAATCAGGGGCATCCGGTTCCAGATTTGGCCAGCCACAGGGCGCCTGTGACTACAGAGGGACCATGTGTGGCTTGCGCTGCACCACCCACAGCTCCGTCCACACACAAGTGTAAACCCGAAGGAATAGGACCAAAAGGCACGCGGATGGGAGCCACGTTTCATCAACGGAGCCGGCCCACACTCCTTCACAGGCAAACACAAGCACGCTGTAATTGGGGAATCAAGTGCACACACAAGGCGGTGGCTGGACCGTAGTCCGCTCCAACATGAGTGCATGGAACCGCTCTTTGTGCCTAGCCCGGCCACAAGGACAGTGCACCCCGTCCCCTCCAGCAACGACCAACTGTGTTCTGGAGCCAATATGAACGAGGTAGTGGGTAATAGACAGGTAGGCAACTTGTCAACATGCACATCAAGCGCAGCCATACCGGGGATGTCAAACAACAGCCAATCACTTGAGAGAAAGATAACGAGGAAAATAAATCAAGTAATGCATAAGGAAACGGGGACATAAAGCTTAAATTAATGAGCATATGAAACAAGTTGTTTACAAACGAATCCGAGATAAGTTCACGAGGTCAGAAAGTATATTTTACGGAAATGCCACAAACAGGAAAATGTTGGTTTAAGCGACGTGTGCAAGTTTATAGAAGAGAGTACTAGTAGACATTTATATGAGAAAGAAAAGCATTAGGACAAGATTGCAAACCCACCACCTGCAATAAACAGACTTAGCATGCAATCACGCGGTTAGTAAATCGAATGCAGCGCTGCGCCGGTTCTGCCTACGATCGCTGCAGCACCCGTCGTCGCTTCGGTGGTGGTCCCGAATGGCTTCCCTCATGGTTCACTAGACCTGCCTGACTCAGGCACTCGAGACCGCATGTGCTACAGCACCATGCGCTCGATATCGATGGAGTACAACCCACCGGTGCTTGCCGCTTCTTCTCTGCATGCATGAAGTCTTTCTCCCGCATCTCGACAACTGCCTTCGTGATCAGATCGCACCATGCACGCCGATCAACCGCCTTCGATTCCCATGACCTGAAATCAAGATTAGAACATGAGAGGCTCACTTTGATCATGTCCTGGTAACGTAACTTTGGTTTCCCCACATGCCACTTCCCAATACTAAGCTGACCACATAAGAGTTGTTTCGGCATCCGCGTTGAATCCATACGGCTCACATGACCCAGCCACCTCAGGTGTCTCAGCAAAAGTATGCAGTCCACTGCATACATCCCAGTTTGTCGCAACACTTCCGTGCCAACAACTCTGTCGCTCCAACCGATGCGCAAAATCCGTCGCAAACACTGCTGATGGAACCGCACATCCCGCCGGTACATCGTCCACGTTTCACTGTCGTATGGAAGAACGGACAGCACCATGGATTTGTACACCATCAGCTTCGTGCCCATGGTAAGCTGATGGTTGTTCCACACTCGGTACTCAAGCTTCCCGAATTCCGCCGCTACCTTCGACACGCGAATACGCAGCTCACTATGTAGCTGCTGATCAGTCGACATCACACTCCCAAAGTAGCAGAAGCGGAAGGTGGTTTCCAGTACTTCAGCAGCAATGCTGATTCGCGGCAATATTGAAGATTGCATATCCGGCGAAGGCTGAAAGAGA